CACAATATTCTTTATGTGGTCCTCAGGTGATAGTTTTCTATCTAGAACCACCCCTAGATCTCTTTCTTTATCAGAATTCTTTAAAGATTTCTCACAAAATATATAGGTTGTGTGGGGTCTATGTTCTCCTATTCCACATTCCATAACATGGCATTTATTAACATTAAATTCCATTTGCCAAGTGGTGCTCCATATACTTATTTTGTCCAGGTCATCTTGAAGGGCATGACAATCATCTAAGTTTCTTATCCTTCCTATTATCTTAGCATCATCAGCAAACATGTTCATATAATTCTGTATACCAACTGGTAGATCATTTATGTAGACAATGAACATTACTGGTGCAAGAACTGAACCCTGTGGTACTCCACTTGTGACATTTCTCCAGTCCGATACATTGCCTCTGATCACAGCCCTCATTTTTTTATCAGTCAGAAAATTTTTCATCGTGTGTGTGTGTGTGTGTGTGTGTGTGTGTGTGTGTGTACTCACCTAGTTGTACTCACCTAGTTGTGTTTGCGGGGGTTGAGCTCTGGCTCTTTGGTCCCGCCTCTCAACCGTCAATCAACAGGTGTACAGATTCATGAGCCTATCGGGCTCTGTCATATCTACACTTGAAACTGTGTATGGAGTCAGCCTCCACCACATCACTTCCTAATGCATTCCATTTGTCAACCACTCTGACACTAAAAAAGTTCTTTCTAATATCTCTGTGGCTCATTTGGGCACTCAGTTTCCACCTGTGTCCCCCTTGTGTGTGTGTGTGTGTGTGTGTGTGTGTGTGTGTGTGTGTGTGTGTGTGTGTGTGTGTGTGTGTGTGTGTGTGTGTTATATAACTGAATTTTTAAAATAAAATAAAATAAATGGAAGTAACGTTGGCCTGAGTGAAATACAAAAGTGCCAAGCACATGCTCAAAAGACCCGGATATATCAAGTCACAGGCTCCATTTCCACACGAAGGAAAGCAAAAAAATAGAACGCAGACATTTTTATAAACACTGGAGAACAGACAAGACAATCACCACAGAAAACGGGAAATGTTAAATTCGAACAGAAATCGTGAAAATTGTAAACTCGGAGGGGTGACTCTCGCAGGAGCTGGAGAAGGCAATACAATACACAAGTGAGGTGTCGAGTGCATGGCCACACTGGGGCAGGGGAAGCAGGGAGAGAGGAAGACTGTCTAGAATGTTCCTACGTGGTCGGTGCTTGAGCCCCAATGTTGACAAGCCGCCGGCTTTCTGTCCCTGTCGTGTGGGGGGGGGGGGGGCCACCAGGGTAAATTCGTCCACCTATCCCAGCTCTCCGGTTCAGCACCGTCTTCAGAGGTGTGTGGGAGGTTTGGAGCCACAGATCAATAGAACTACCACACACCCCGGAGGCTGGGCGATCAGGGGGAACAGGTGTGGGAGGTGTGGAGACTCAGGTCAACAGAAGCGCCACACCCGGGGGCTCTGTGACCAAGACGAAGGACTCAGCCACACTATTAATCCAGCAATTCGATTTGCCGTTCGATTTAATCTGGGTCCCTGAAGCTCTCCGGAAGATTTGCAAACTTTATCAGTGATCATCGGAGAAACTTTCCTTTTCTGCGGTTCCTTTCACCCCTTCTTCACCTCTCTATCCCTCTCTATTACCTTCTCCATCTCTCTCTCTCTCTCTCCCTCGCCTCCCTTCTCCACACCTCCTTGCAAGACGAGTAATGTCCCATGCAGACATACTGAAACTCTTCTCAAACTGGTCCTTCACTCCACCGGCCGCGTCTGGATCTCTTCGTCACTAAAGGCTTCTCCTCTTCTCTCTGCTGTTCTCTCTTGGCAGCTTTAAAGCTAAAGCCGACAGCCTTCCTCTCGGTGGCTTAACTTCGTGATGTGAGAACCCAAACTCATCAGATACTTTAACGTGGCTTATTTATTTGTTAAATTCCACCGACATGTCCGATCGGTATCCGAACACAAGTTTTATATATATATATATATATATATATATATATATATATATATATATATATATATATATATATATATATATATATATATATATATATATATATATATATATATATATATATATATATATATGTCGTACCTAGTAGCCAGAACGCACTTCTCAGCCTACTATGCAGGGCCCGATTTGCCTAGTAACCCAAGTTTTCATGAAATAATTGTTTTTCGACTACCTAACCTACCTAACCTAACCTAACCTAACTTTTTCGGCTACCTAACCTAACCTAACCTATAAAGATAGGTTAGGTTAGGTTAGGTAGGGTTGGTTAGGTTCGGTCATATATCTACGTTAATTTTAACTCCAATAAAAAAAAATGACCTCAAACATAATCAAATGGGTAGCTTTATCATTTCATAAGAAAAAAATTAGAGAAAATATATTAATTCAGGAAAACTTGGCTTATTAGGCAAATCGGGCCTTGCATAGTTGGCTGAGAAGTGCGTTCTGGCTACTAGGTACGACATATATATATATATATATATATATATATATATATATATATATATATATATATATATATATATATATATATATATATATATATATATATATATATATATATATATATATATATATATATATATATATATATATATATATATATATATATATATATATATATATATATATATATATATATATATATATATATATATATATATATATATATATATATATATATGTTTCATTGAATATGACCGCATATTCTGTATTTATTATTTTCTGGTTTAGGGCTTCTATCCCTCTAACTATTTTCTTAGCATCAGGGCTTAATTGAAATAGGAGTTCTCCAAAACTCATTTTCGTACTTTTCAGGTGAAGAAAAGAAGTGATTTACTATAGAGTGTATTTACACTTATTTGTATAATTTGCACGACGTTTCGAACCTCCATGGTTCATTCTCAAGTGAACAGATCTTACAATACTAGTTGATTTTATACCCGCATTAGGTCAGGTGATAATACAATGAAGGTGAAAACATGGGGGGATACATAAGGGATAAACATAGGGGCTGGAGAAGGCTTATTGGCCCATACGAGGCATCTCCTATCTAAACACAAAGATTAATCCAGTGTAATTGGCCTGTTATGTTGGACATTGTCTTCTGTGTTGGCATCGAAATGTTCTTGTCTTGTCCTTACTAGTAAGGACAAGACATATATATATATATATATATATATATATATATATATATATATATATATATATATATATATATATATATATATATATATATATATAATTATGATACTTAACCTTTAAATTTAATGATGACGACTCGTTACCTTATGGATTATGTTAATGTCTGGTGATAATTGTTGGTAAAGCAGAAGTATCTGAAGTGTTCTTATAGCGTTATTGGAAATATTGCAGGAGAGAGAGAGAGAGAGAGAGAGAGAGAGAGAGAGAGAGAGAGAGAGAGAGAGAGAGAGAGAGAGAGAGAGAGAGAGAGAGAGAGAGAGAGAGAGAGAGAGAGAGAGAGAGAGAGAGACCTAGCCACAGGTAGGTACCCCTACAAGTACATACACATAAATATATACACGAAACGCCACTCTTCCAAGATAACACAACCTTAGTGCTCTCGCTTATTTGAAAGTGTGTGTAGAAGCTGAGACTGTTGTCTTAGTCTCTGGCGACGCCTTCAAGTGTGCTGCTGCTTCTTCAAAGAGAAGGTCTGCTTGTCTGTCTGTCTGCTTGTCTATGTACCTGTCTGTCTGCCTGTCTGTCTGTCTGTCTGTCTGTCTGTCTGTCTGTCTGTCTGTCTGTCTGTCTGACTGTCTGCCTGCCTGTGTGTCCAAGGGTGCAAGCAAGACACTTGAGGATAGCCTCATTCAACCTTCACGTATGAAACATGTTGAGTATGGGAGTGTCATAGGCCGGTCATAATCAGCCCTAGTGCCACACTTTAAGAAATATCGGCATCTAACCACCACCCCCACCTCCCTTCCACCCGACCCCGTAGACTTATTTAGAATGTCCAGTTGTTCGTTATACCATTTTTCAGAGAAGGAGAGAGGGAAGGGGGAGAGAGGGAAGGGGGAGAGAGGGAAGGGGGAGAGAGGGAAGGGGGAGAGAGGGAAGGGGGAGAGAGGGAAGGGGAAGAGAGGAAAGGGGGAGAGAGGGAAGGGGGAGAGAGGGAAGGGGGAGAGAGGGAAGGGGGAGAGAGGGAGGGAGGGGGAGAGAGGGAAGGGGGAGAGAGGGAAGGGGAAGAGAGGGAAGGGGAAGAGAGGGAAGAGGGAGAGAGGGAAGGGGGAGAGAGGGAAGGGGGAGAGAGGGAAGGGAGAGAGAGGGAAGGGGGGAGAGAGGGAAGGAAGAGAGAGGGAAGGGGGGAGAGAGGGAAGGGGGAGAGAGGGAAGGGGAAGAGAGGGAAGGGGGAGAGAGGGAAAGAGAGAGGAGAGAGAAAGATGGATAGGAGGGATTGTGAGGATATAAACTTACAATTATTTTAGCTAATAACGTAAAGTGAAGCAAATTGAAACAATTGAATTAACCACAAGAAGTGATGAATGTGATGGTCCAAGATGTGGCAGATCCCAACCTCTCCTCAGTCTATGACAAACGTTTGACCTCAAACGTTTGACCTCAAACGTTTGACCTCAAACGTTAGTTTCTCAAACAATTATACGAATAACCATTACCGATATTTGAGTCGATTTAGTAATTTCTTTAAAGTGAAAAAAAACAGAAATAGCCGGATGTTAATTCTTTTAATTGCACTGGTCAACAGCCAAAATACTTCTGAAACAAATTAGTTCAATCTTGACTAATTCTGGGTCACTGAGAACGGAAATGATGTTTAAGATTGTTGACAAGCTCAAGTTTGTATCCAAGACGAGTGTTGAAGCTGTTTTGTTGCATAATGGGAGGACTTGACCAGCAATTCCGTTGTTGTTGTTGTTATACACTCAGCTGCTCGGAACAGTTTCCATGTAGCGCGGGCTGTAGTGAGCCAGAAATATTCCATTGTGTTATGCAGCCCACATGAGAGAAACTTATGGGGACATGAAGGGACTTTGAGGTACATAAACGCTGACCAACGTCAGTGGCAGTTCTGAGGTGCCCTGGAGGTGGTAGCCCTTGTGATGGGTCTGCGGCGTGAGTACCCGCAGACCTGCTGTGGTCTCTGTGAGTGGAACAGTCGTGCTAGAACCTCTCACAGTGTCTGCTGTGGTCTCTGTGAGTGGGACAGTCCTGGGAGAGCTGGCCACAGTGTCTGCTGTGGTCTCTGTGAGTGGGACAGTCCTGGGAGAGCTGGCCACAGTGTCTGCTGTGGTCTCTGTGAGTGAGACAGTCGTGGGAGAGCTGGCCACAGTGTCTGCTGTGGTCTCTGTGAGTGAGACAGTCGTGGGGGAGCTGGCCACAGTGTCTGCTGTGGTCTCTGTGAGTGGGACAGTCGTGGGGGAGCTGGCCACAGTGTCTGCTGTGGTCTCTGTGAGTGGGACAGTCCTGAGAGAGCTGGCCACAGTGTCTGCTGTGGTCTCTGTGAGTGGGACAGTCGTGGGAGAGCTGGCCACAGTGTCTGCTGTGGTCTCTGTGAGTGAGACAGTCGTGGGAGAGCTGGCCACAGTGTCTGCTGTGGTCTCTGTGAGTGGGACAGTCCTGGGAGAGCTGGCCACAGTGTCTGCTGTGGTCTCTGTGAGTGGGACAGTCGTGGGGGAGCTGGCCACAGTGTCTGCTGTGGTCTCTGTGAGTGGGACAGTCCTGGGAGAGCTGGCCACAGTGTCTGCTGTGGTCTCTGTGAGTGAGACAGTCGTGGGGGAGCTGGCCACAGTGTCTGCTGTGGTCTCTGTGAGTGAGACAGTCGTGGGGGAGCTGGCCACAGTGTCTGCTGTGGTCTCTGTGAGTGAGACAGTCGTGGGGAAGCTGGCCACAGTGTCGTGAGCGACTGGGCACTCCGCCCATCACTGGAGGTCTGGGTGTAAACATGCAGTAATCACCACTTGATGAATCAAGCAAGATGATGTTGTTACCAACCTTACATATAAAACAACAGATAATCAGCCATTTGTATTATTATATTTGACATCAGCGCGTCAAAATGCTTCATTAACAGCTCTTGTTCATCTCCGAGGCTGACAACTCTTGAACAAAATTGTTGACCAGGGATTTTGCGAGTCATTTAATGCAAGTGGTAAACAAATATGTTTTTTGTTAATTGTTAATTGTTATACAGTTATTGTTCCAGTCAGTCTTTTGTTATTCATGCTTGATGAACACCTGTCGTGTTAGTCAGGCTGGTGGTATAATATGCCGCTGTCAACACCTGTCGTGTTAGTCAGGCTGGTGGTATAATATGCCGCTGTCAACACCTGTCGTGTTAGTCAGGCTGGTGGTATAATATGCCGCTGTCAACACCTGTCGTGTTAGTCAGGCTGGTGGTATAATATGCCGCTGTCAACACCTGGCGTGTTAGTCAGGCTGGTGGTATAATATGCCGCTGTCAACACCTGTCGTGTTAGTCAGGCTGGTGGTATAATATGCCGTTGTCAACACCTGGCGTGTCAATCACCCAGCATTTATTATGCATATTTCCCGGAATTATTAGCAGAGGTAATTGTCATGCAAATGAGGAGGTTTGGCGTCTAACGTGAAATTATTTTAAGGGTTAATTAGAAGATTATAACTTCTCCTCCACCCTGCTCCAGTATTACTCCTCCTCCACCCTGCTCCAGTATTACTCCTCCTCCACCCTGCTCCAGTATTACTCCTCCTCCACCCTGCTCCAGTATTACTCCTCCTCCACCCTGCTCCAGTATTACTCCTCCTCCACCCTGCTCCAGTATTACTCCTCCACCCTGCTCCAGTATTACTCCTCCTCCACTCTGCTCCAGTATTACTCCTCCTCCACTCTGCTCCAGTATTACTCCTCCTCCACCCTGCTCCAGTATTACTCCACCACCACCCTGCTCCAGTATTACTCCTCCACCACCCTGCTCCAGTATTACTCCTCCTCCACCCTGCTCCAGTATTACTCCTTCTCCACCCTGCTCCAGTATTACTCCTCCACTCTGCTCCAGTATTACTCCTCCTCCACCCTGCTCCAGTATTACTCCTCCTCCACTCTGCTCCAGTATTACTCCTCCTCCACTCTGCTCCAGTATTACTCCTCCTCCACCCTGCTCCAGTATTACTCTTCCTCCACCCTGCTCTAGTATTACTCCTCCTCCACTCTGCTCCAGTATTACTCCTCCTCCACTCTGCTCCAGTATAACTAATCCTCCACCCTGCTCCAGTATTACTCCTCCTCCACCCTGCTCCAGTATTACTCCTCCTCCACTCTGCTCCAGTATTACTCATCCTCCACTTTGCTCCAGTATAACTAATCCTCCACCCTGCTCCAGTATTACTCCTCCTCCACCCTGCTCCAGTATTACTCTTCCTCCACCCTGCTCTAGTATTACTCCTCCTCCACTCTGCTCCAGTATTACTCCTCCTCCACTCTGCTCCAGTATTACTCCTCCTCCACTCTGCTCCAGTATTACTTCTCCTCCACCCTGCTCCAGTATTACTCCTCCTCCACTCTGCTCCAGTATTACTCCTCCTCCACTCTGCTCCGGTATTAATCCTCCTCCACCCTGCTCCAGTATTACTCCTCCTCCACTCTGCTCCAGTTTTACTCCTCCACCACCCTGCTCCGGTATTAATCCTCCTCCACTCTGCTCCAGTATTACTCCTCCTCCCCTCTGCTCCAGTATTACTCCTCCTCCACACTGCTCCAGTATTACTCCTCCTCCACCCTGCTCCAGTATTACTCCTCCTCCACCCTGCTCCAGTATTACTCCTCCTCCACCCTGCTCCAGTATTACTCCTCCACCACCCTGCTCCAGTATTACTCCTCCACCACCCTGCTCCAGTATTACTCCTCCACCACCCTGCTCCAGTATTACTCCTCCACCACCCTGCTCCAGTATTACTCCTCCACCACCCTGCTCCAGTATAACTCCTCCACCACCCTGCTCCAGTATTACTCCTCCACCACCCTGCTCCAGTATTACTCCTCCACCACCCTGCTCCAGTATTACTCCTCCACCACCCTGCTCCAGTATTACTCCTCCACCACCCTGCTCCAGTATTACTCCTCCACCACCCTGCTCCAGTATTACTCCTCCACCACCCTGCTCCAGTATTACTCCTCCACCACCCTGCTCCAGTATTACTCCTCCACCACCCTGCTCCAGTATTACTCCTCCACCACCCTGCTCCAGTATTACTCCTCCACCACCCTGCTCCAGTATTACTCCTCCACCACCCTGCTCCAGTATTACTCCTCCACCACCCTGCTCCAGTATTACTCCTCCACCACCCTGCTGTAGTCCTGTGCTGTACCAGCGTCATTATTCACCACATTATCTGACGTGCAGCCATAGTGGGAGACTGAGAAGCCCTAGAAGTAGTAGTGGGGGCAAGATGGTGTTATACGTCGTGGTCACTGTAGTGGTCACTGTAGTGGTCATTGTAGTCCTCGTCACTGTTGTGGTGGTTACTGTAGTGGTGGTGACTGTAGTGGTTACTGTAGTGGTGGTCACTATAGTGGTGGTTACTGTAGTGGTGGTCACTGTCGTGGTCACTGTAGTGGTCACTGTAGTGGTCATTGTAGTCGTCGTCACTGTAGTGGTGGTTACTGTAGTGGTGGTCACTGTAGTCGTGGTCACTGTAGTGGTGGTCACTGTAGTGGTGGTCACTGTAGTGGTGGTCACTGTAGTGGTGGTCACTGTAGTGGTCACTGTAGTGGTCACTGTAGTGGTCACTGTAGTGGTCATTGTAGTCGTGGTCACTGTCGTGGTGGTCACTATAGTGGTGGTCACTGTAGTGGTGGTCACTGTAGTGGTGGTCACTGTAGTGGTGGTCACTGTAGTGGTCACTGTAGTGGTGGTCACTGTAGTGGTGGTTACTGTAGTGGTGGTCACTATAGTGGTGGTCACTGTAGTGGTGGTCACTATAGTGGTGGTCACTGTAGTGGTGGTCACTGTCGTGGTCACTGTAGTGGTGGTCACTGTAGTGGTGGTCACTATAGTGGTGGTTACTGTAGTGGTGGTCACTGTAGTGGTGGTCACTGTAGTGGTGGTTACTGTAGTGGTGGTCACTGTCGTGGTCACTGTAGTGGTGGTCACTGTAGTGGTGGTCACTGTAGTGGTGGTCACTGTAGTGGTCACTGTAGTGGTGGTGACTGTAGTGGTTACTGTAGTGGTGGTCACTATAGTGGTGGTCACTGTAGTGGTGGTCACTGTAGTGGTGGTCACTGTAGTGGTGGTCACTATAGTGGTTACTGTAGTGGTGGTCACTGTCGTGGTCACTGTAGTGGTGGTCACTGTAGTGGTGGTTACTGTAGTGGTGGTCACTGTCGTGGTCACTGTAGTGGTGGTCACTGTAGTGGTGGTTACTGTAGTGGTGGTCACTGTAGTGGTGGTCACTGTAGTGGTGGTCACTGTAGTGGTGGTCACTGTAGTGGTGGTCACTGTAGTGGTGGTTACTGTAGTGGTGGTCACTATAGTGGTCACTGTAGTGGTGGTCACTGTAGTCGGGGTCACTATAGTGGTCACAGTAGTCGTGGTCACTGTAGTCGTGGTCACTGTAGTCGTGGTCACTGTAGTGGTGGTCACTGTAGTCGGGGTCACTGTAGTGGCGGTCACTATAGTGGTCACTGTAGTGGTGGTCACTGTAGTCGGGGCCATTGGCCCAGTCGTTCAACATCAGCTGGGGGATTGGATCGTACAGATGCGGGTTCGATCCCCAGAGCCGTGTGAAGAGCTGGGCAGTCTCGGACTCCAAGGGGTAAAAAAAAAAGGTATTGCAGAAAAATATAATTAATATATTTGAAAGGTGTTGATATTTCTCCTTCGGAAACTCATTACTTACAACGAGAACCGTTCACACAATTTTCTTTTGTTTTTCGTTAGTTGCGTTCCACTGTGATTGTTGTGATGGAGTCTATATTTCTTTATTGTTTTCTTTCTCTCGACTCCTCCTCCTTCTCCTCCTTCAATTACTTCTCCTCTTCCTCTTCTACTTTTCCTTTTGTTGTAAGTATGTTGATATGTTGTCAAGTTCCTCATTATGACTGGAACACATCCAGGAGTCCTGATTGTCCGTCTTAGAACTTAAGTTCCTTGTCCTCATATTCCAGCTCCTTGTCCTCATATCCCAGCTCTTTGTCGTCATATCCCAGCTCCTTGTCCTCATATTCCAGCTCCTTGTCCTCATATCCCAGCTCCTTGTTCTCATATCCCAGCTCCTTGTTCTCGTATCCCAGCTCCTTGTTCTCGTATCCCAGCTCCTTGTTCATATACCCCAGCTCCTTGTTCTCATACCCCAGCTCCTTGTTCTCATATCCCAGCTCCTTGTTCTCATACCCCAGCTCCTTGTTCTCATATCCCAGCTCCTTGTTCTCATATCCCAGCTCCTTGTCCTTATATCCCAGCTCCTTGTCCTCACACCCCAAGCTACTTGTCCTCATACCTCTCTTTGTCCTCATGCATAGCTCTTTCATAAGCAATATCTTCATACTGGCTTGGCATTTTCTCCCGAGAATGAGCCTATTTTCCCCTCAATAGCCCCACAACACACCCAATTAATAATGTTACACCACTCTATTACTCGGCAAGACCATCCTACTACAAGCTGACATATTTCCAAAAGTATGAACATGAGGTTTCAATATTATTTACAAGTTTACAGTAAATATGTAAATCAAGGTCCACCCTTGGCCTAGTGCTGACGTTTCCCAGGATGCCAAACACAATAGTTGGTTAGGTCTCAGGTACATATTTTATGATAGGCGAACAGATGCATCAGGTGTAAGGCCCCGACACCTAGACTAATGACTAACCACAACAGTTGGTTGTCTCTAAGGTACCTGTTTACTGCTAGGTGACCAGAAGCATTCGGCGTAAGGAAACGTGTCCAAAACATCTTGCCTTGCCCGGGAATCGAACTAGATTCCATGGGATTCGAGTCGATTTGAAGTAGCTTAAATAGCCATTGTTCTAAAGTGTTCGAAATAGTGTGCGAAAACTTTCGGACACAAGAAGTTCATCGGGTGATGAAAACTACATGTTTAAGAATAACTATTTTTTTTAATTTTAATAAGCTGTGAGGTTCTTCAGTCATATTATTGCTGTTCTCTCTGAATCAGATAATAATTTTTTTTAGATAAAAAATTTAGTTTTAAACAAAAATTTTATAAATTTGTATGCAAGATTTTGAATAGTTTAGAAAACAAGGTTGTTAACATAATAAAAATATTAAAATTGGATAAGTTTTGCGAGTAATTTGTCCTCATATATATATATATATATATATATATATATATATATATATATATATATATATATATATATATAGCCTTTCAACCATAATTAGTTTATAGTGATTCGAGTGATTTGTTTCACTCGTTTTCCCTTATTATGTTTACATTTAAACCTGTGATTGATTGAAAAAATAAAGGTTAAGCCACCCTAAAGTTGGCACGGGTACGAATAGCCCGAATAGCCTTATTGCATATTGTTGGACTTTTTCTAGTTCTGAGTTGTGTTTCTGTAGGCAGGGGTTCCATGCGGGTGCAGCGTACTCAATAACAGGTCCCACAAAGCATGTATACAGCACTATGGAAGGTATTGTTGTCCAAGTTGGTGAAGGATAACCGGATGTTTGCCAGTATGGCATATGTGGCCCTCGTTATCCTGCTGATGTGTGCCTCTGGTGTTAGGTCTCCAGTTATGTCCACTCTTAAGTCTCTCTTTTCCAGTAGTTGGAAGTTGCCTCACCTTCACCCTGTACTGTGTTTGTGGTCTTCTTGTACCAGCGTCTATCCTCATAACCTTACATTTGTCAGAGTTAAATTCTAGAAGCGATTTCTGAGACTATCTCTGGGGATTGTTTAGTTCATACTGTTATGCATGTGTGTTTGTGTGTGTACTCACCTAATTGTACTCACCTAGTTGTGTTTGCGGGGGTTGAGCTCTGGCTCTTTGGTCCCGCCTCTCAACCGTCAATCAACAGGTGTACAGATTCCTGAGCCTATCGGGCTCTGTCATATCTACACTTGAAACTGTGTATGGAGTGAGCCTCCACCACATCACCCCCTAATGCATTCCATTTGTCAACCACTCTGACACTAAAAAAGTTCTTTCTAATATCTCTGTGGCTCATTTGGGCACTCAGTTTCCACCTGTGTCCCCTTGTGCGTGTTCCCCTTGTGTTAAATAGACTGTCTTTATCTACCCTATCAATCCCCTTCAGAATCTTGAATGTGGTGATCATGTCCCCCCTAACTCTTCTGTCTTCCAGCGAAGTGAGGTTTAATTCCCGTAGTCTCTCCTCGTAGCTCATACCTCTCAGCTCGGGTACTAGTCTGGTGGCAAACCTTTGAACCTTTTCCAGTTTAGTCTTATCCTTGACTTATCCTTGACTTGTGTGTGTGTGTGTGTGTGTGTGTGTGTGTGTGTGTGTGTGTGTGTGTGTGTGTGTGTGTGTGTGTGTGTGTGTGTGATTATGTGTGTGTGTGTGTGTGTGTGTGTGATTGTGTGTGTGTTTGATTGTGTGTGTGTGTGTGTGTGTGTGTGTGTGTGTGTGTGTGTGTGTGTGTGTGTGTGTGTGTGTGTGTGTGTGTGTGTGTGTGTGTGTGTGTGTGTGTGTGTGTGTGTGTGTGTGTATGTGTGTGCTTGTGCGTGCGTGCTTGTGAGTGCATGCGTAGAGTAGTACTGACTATTTAGAGAAAAATGCCAAAAAATACAAATTGAATATTTCGAGCCCAATTAATAACCCACAGCAAAACAAAATAATAAAATTTGTCTTACGTGTTAATGAAAACGAAATTACTTAGGCAAATATCCTCTACTGCCCCCCCCCTCCCCCCACTCCTCCCCCCCTCCTCTTACCCCCTCCTCTCACCCCCTCCTCTCACCCCCTCCTCTCACTCCCCTCACCCTCACTACTCTACCCTCCCCGGCAAAAAAAAAAAAAAAACACACAGCCCGTTCTCTTGACTTTCCACAACGTACAAAATACAAAGGGCTAACCTAACCAGAAACATCCAAACCCTAACAACCCACCTAACCTAACCTAATAATGCATAGAAAAAGTGGATATTTTTGAGTCACTACTCTTCATAGCACTTTGTAACGCTGGTGAACCACAACGTTCAAAATGAGATGTATTAGTGGGAGAGAAAAGGATGGATTTCAGTTGAAGATAAAATACAATTATTCTTGCTTTTTATTCCAACACTTGACTACATTTAGAGGACGTATGCAGTAGCATGTTGAAATTACAAGACTTTCATGTTGCATATAGTAATGGTTATTGAGAAGTAACGCGTCATCTTTTAAGGAGCCGGTCGGCCGAGCGGACAGCACGCTGGACTTGTGATCCTGTGGTTCCGGGGTCGATCCCGGGCGCCGGCGAGAAACAATGGGCAGAGTTTCTTTCACCCTATGCCCATGTTACCTAGCAGTAAAATAGGTACTTGGATGTTAGTCAGCTGTCACGGGCTGCTTCGTGGGGGTGGAGGCCTGGTCGAGGACCGGGCCGCGGGGACACTAAAGCCCCGAAATCATCTCAAGGTAACCTCAAGGTAACGGCAACATTTGATACATGAGCTATGAAGGTTAATACACTCTCTACAATTATGTGTGATTACTTGCTCATTGTTGCAAAATATAAGTAACTTCTGGTATAGTGTTGAAAATTACTATTGAATGCTAACACAACGTTGCAAATTCTGTATGCATGTTGATACAATCTTGCAAATTGCATGGGAGTGTTGTTACACGGTTGCAAATTATGTGTGAGTGCTTGATACAATGTTGCAAATTCAGCGAGAGGGCTAGTACAATGGGGCAACTTACACGTGAGTACTGGTGCAATGCTGCACCATTGTGTGTGAGTGATGGTGCAATGTTGCAAGTGAGGCGTGAGTACACACAGAGTGATGGATGAGTGTAAAGGAACAGTAAAGAGGGAGTCTAAAGAGACGTCAAGACGCTGCCAGTCTCAACGGAGACTGTGAATAGGTGTCAGTCACCAGGTGAAGCTAGAAGAGGCACAAGAGTCTGCAACACCAGCATGAAGGTTGGGGAAGCTCCTCCGGCCTGCAGTTGCTTCTTTGCATCATCTGGTGTCACTGGTGTTTAAGTCAGGATTTACTGTGGAATTGTCGTACAGTTTGGGCTTTAAGCTCTAGTGGCTAATCTTGAATACTTTCTGGAAGCTTTTGTGACGTTCCTTATATATCTTCTTGTCATGTTCCGCGTGTCCTTCCTCACTCTCGTGTTGTCTGATGACCTGGTCAGTCACGGCCATCTTCCTCCTCATGTGACTATGGAACAGTTTGGGCTGGACTTGTGTGCATTCATTCTCGAACGGTTTCTCTCTCTCTCTCCTCGTTTCTGTGTACTCATTTCTGTCCTCTTTGTATACAGTGTTAATTGTTTCTGTTTTGTTTCTCTATATTTCATCCACGCCCTTGTGCTCTTCTCTGTGCTTCCTGACACTGCCTGTTCAACGGCAGTGTCTGTGCTTCCTGACACTGCCTCTTGAACGGCAGTGTCTGTGCTTCCTGAGACTGCCTCTTGAACGGCAGTGTCTGTGCTTCCTGAGACTGCCTCTTGAACGGCAGTGTCAGTGCTTCCTGAGACTGCCTCTTGAACGGCAGTGTCTGTGCTTCCTGAGACTGCCTCTTCAACGGCAGTGTC